GGAAAACATACTTTTAATGTTGTCATTTTTAATCTTTAGAATATTTCTGAGATCACAAAAACAATCTTGCAAAGTAAGTTTCTTCTTTATTATTTATTTAGTCATATTTTTAATAAAGTTTTTATTTTTCATATTAACATAAGACATTAATTTGTAAACGCTTTCAGCATAAATTGGTTTCATTTTCTTTAGTAGAGTTTCTGCTGTTGTCACTTGTCAATTTTGTTTTAAAAAGTCAAGTAAAGTCTCTTCAGCCTGTAGAATAGATTGTTCTGTCTAATCCCGGTAGATTTAAAAAAAATAGTTTTGAATCATATTTTCTTTTTTACGTATTTAGTTTCAATTTTGAAATGTAAAGTAATTTACTGAAATTTAATGATTACTAATTTTACTGATTAATTGAAATGTAAAGTAAAGTAATGTTGCGTTTAAAGTTGTTGCCATTAAGCATTAAACTTTATGTAGTGCGGTCGTGGCGCAGTGGTTACAACGCTTGCTTTATAAGCAGGAGATCCAGTTTTGACACGAGCTCTGGACATATTTTCGCGTCACGGTAAGGAAGAAAGCGTGAACTTCCTAAAGACGCACTTCCGCGGTGCCCTGTGACAAGACCGTTAGGTCTTTTTGAGGCACCTAAATAACGAAACAAAAAAAAAGAAGTATACATATAAATACGCAAAAAAAAATTTCCTACATTCAATTACTATGAAAGTAATTTTTTCTTTAGTTGATAGATCACTGTGATGAATTTTAAGTTGAATAACAACGGTTCCGAAGAATTAATGTGAACTACAAAATAAAACAAAATTATTAAGGCAGGAACGCGAAATTTAAATCAATGTCGGAGATATATGATATAATCTAATAAAACATCATTTATATTTAGTTTTTTATATAATTTTAAGTTATTTATTATTTTATTTATATATGTAAACTATTGTTTACCTAGTTTATTTTAATAATGATATAACTCTTTACAAGAATACAGCAATTTTTATACAATTGGTTAAATTTTTACACAATTTTATTATTAAAGGCGCCTGAAGCGACAGTATATTTTGCCATTTAAATTTGCCGTAAATAACCGTAAATATTATAAAAAAAAATCTAACATCTTTGGACTTAATTATTACGATTGTGAAGCAATTGTCACACGCTACCTACCATTATTCAGAAATAGGATTTAACTTTCATGGTAATTAAAAGAAAGAAATTTCTTTTTTGCGTAGTCATATATGTGTACTTAAAGTACTGCTATTGCCCTGCTGTGTTTGCGCAACCGATCTGAAGGATTAGATAAAATTACTTGTCTTACGTACTTTTGATCAAATTATTATATTATAAATAAATGATACTAGAGTTTCACAGGGACTGCATATGAAAGATCGTAAAAAGAACTTCAAGGGGATTGCGATGACTGTTTTTTTTGCTTTATTTCAACAACTTCAAACGCAACAATTGCTTTAACTAAATACGTAAAAAGAACAATCTATTTTACAAGCTGAAGAGATTTTACTTGACTTTTTAGAACGAAATTTAGCATTATATCACAATAAATCTGTACAAATGCATAAAGGAATTATGGAATTTAATTAATTCATCATTTTGAAATTATTGCACAGTTTACAGACTAGTCAATAAATAAAACAAAAATACTGCATATTAATATTCTAATAACATTTAAAAATTCTATATTTTTGTTTAAAATTTTCCTCAGTGTGAAATCTATTCCGCATGTTTTTAATATATGTGGAATAAAATTTATAAATGAAAAATTTTTTCACAGTACAATAATGAAATGATCAAAATTACTAATTACAAAAATATGAATTATAACATTGTAACAATATGTATAAAATTTTTTAGTAAACGGTATGAGGATTAACGATATTCCGTCTTGGCTTCTAGAAAATGCTTAACATTAACAACTTTTTAACTTCATTCCCGAAGGTACTCTCTAAAACCTACAAAAAAGATGGGACCAATTTATGTTAAAAACATTATTTACACATAATGTCTTATGTATTATGTTGAAGTTAAAAAAAAAAGTAATTAAAAATGTGACCAAATAAATAATAAAAAAGAAACTTACTTTGTAAGATTGTTTTTGTGACCTCAGAACAACCCTAAAGATAAAAAATGACAACTCTAAAAATATGTTTTACTTTAAAACATGTTTCTTGGCTTTTAGTGAATGATTAAATTTTCAATAGAAACACATGTTTTAATGGTCCTAAATGATGGTCTGACTTCGCTATAGAGAATGTAAGCTCCACCAGGCAGTTTCTGATGTTTTATAGTTTGAACCCATCCATCAATAAAAAATTTGTAAGCATTTAATGATTTAAAGTTTTCCATGGCTTTACTACACCTTTTCAAGATGTAATTGAGAAAACAAAAATTGTAATTAAGAATCGTAAGATGTAATTGAGAAAACAAAAGTTGTAATTAAGAAACGTAAGGTGTAATTGAGAAAACGTAAGTTGTAATTAAGAAACATAAGATGTAATTTAGAAAACGAAAATTGTAATTAAGAATCGTAACATGTAATTGAGAAAATGTAAGTTGTAATTAAGAAATAGAAAGATGTAATTGAGAACACGAAAATTTTAATTTAGATATCGCTTTAAAGGAGTAAGTGTAAAATGGCGCTTAAAAAAAATGGCGCGTAAAAAAATGGAGCGTATAAAATGACGCACTTAAAAATGACGCAAGATTTGTAGCGTAAATTTAATTTTTTAGGGAAAAATTTAGGGAAAAATTTATAATTTTTGGGCAAATGTATTTAACATAATAAACACTAAAAACATTTTAGGGAAAAATTTATAATTTAATTAAAAATTATAATTAAAAATTATATAATTAAAAATCACTTCATTGATCATTTAAGCACCAACTTGTACGTCTTCCATATTTAAAATAGTTGCATAGTGCGTGGTTGTGTGTTGTACCGCACGTGCACAATCACCTCCCATTATAGTATTTTTCGCCTCAACTACAATTCGTTCTAAGTACTGCATGCGCTGTTCCGCAATCCCGTCACCTAATACAGGTGGAATGCGAATTGCATTTTTAACGTTACTTTTAATTTTGGACCAGATCGTTTCCACCGGGTTCAACATTGGACTGTAAGGTCCCAAACGTAACAACTGAGCTGGTGAATTATCAAACACCCTTTGCAAACGAGCGTGACAAGGAGCATTATCTGTTACGACGACCAAATCCTCCAAACGATTCCCGGATGTAACCCACTGGTGAAACATAGCCAACATCCACTCGTTACAGGAATCTGCTTTAAATGATCCCCTGCGAGTTTCTATCATGACGACATTTGTAGTTAAAATAGCTGCGATCAAGTGTATGTTTAAACCTTTTGAAGCAGGTACTTTCATAATTGCTCTTTTTCCTTGTCTCGCGCGTCCTTGTGTTTTTCTACAAAAAAGGTTAAAATTTGTTTCATCCAACCAAACTATCTGACGACCATTTGTGATATGTTCGTTGATGTTTCTAACATATTCAGCTCTTTTTTGTTTGTTTTCATAACTGTTCATTGTAGAAGGCTCCTTGTGCACTTTTTTTAATGAGAACAACCTGCCTTCGAGGTAATTTGCTATTGTTGTTGTGCTAACGTTTATGTTAAATTGTCTTAATATCTTTGTTTTGATGGCCACCAATGTTAATTAACAATCATTTTCAATCCATGTTAATGTTTCTTCGATTTGATCTTCGGTCAACTTTTTCGGTTTAAAACCTCCTTTTCCGATGATATTTGAATTTCCGCTGCGAACCCAATTGTATGCTGTCTTATATTTGATACCTAGCGTTTGCGCGAGATTCACCCAATCTTCAAATCGCTCCGCACATTCAACAACTCTTCTCCTGTCATTTGGAGAAGATAAAACGTAACGTTTCCTTTCAACTTGTTCAGTTGTGTGTATTTCATGCCGACAAATCGGACAACTTGAATCTGGTTGTTCCAGAACTGGACATAAACAAATTTGGTGACATAAATGTTGACACGGATTTAGCTTAATCACAGACTTTCGGGTCATAGTGTATTGGCATATAACACAATGATCTTTCAATTCCATTATTATTACTTGTGCATGCAAAAGCAAAATTTAAGATTATAACTTAAATTCATGTCCAAAAAGACCTTTGTAACAACCTACAAACTTAGACTGTGAATTTGCTATTTTAATTTATGTGTTCTCAATTACAAGTTACGATTTCTCAATTACATATTATGATTTCTCAATTATATCTTACGTTTTCTCAATTACATGTTGTGTTTCTTAATTACATGTTACGACTTCTTATTTACATGTTGTGTTTCTAAATTACATATAACGTTTTCTCAATTACATGTTGTGTTTCTTAATTACATATTACGATTTCTTAATTACAACTTTCATGTTCTCATTTACATCTTGAAAAGGTGTAGAGTATATCCCTAAAATTATTATTATAGTAACTTTCAATGATTAAATGCCTATTAGTTGCCTAAATCACACATTTTCTAGTACCATATTCATAATAATATTCTTATTATCAACTTGTATTCTGTGTGTAATAAACTAAATAATACTGTTCAATAAATTTATCTTTTATAATTTATATTTTATCTTTATCTGTCTTATTCAATAATAAATAAATTACTTAGTAGGACTTTTATTAGAAATTGATAAAAATGATGATAAGCAAAAGCAGGCCATTAAGATGAGTCAACTTTCCACTCATCTGATGCAAGTTTATAAGGGCACTTTTTTAGACCTAACACTTTTAATATTACTAATAGGGTAATACAAATACTATTATTTTGATCAGAATAGAACTAGTGTGTTTGAGATATAATTAATACATTATAAGCAAACTACTATTCTTGTGTTTAATTACACAATACTGCTTATTTATTTAATCGCTACTAATAATATTAATAATAGTATTTAATATTACTACTAACATATTACCAATATACTAATAATAGTATGAGTGTGATTAAACAAATAGTTTAGAGTAATTAAACACAAGATTAACTAATAAACTTTATTGACAAATGTCCATATTAGGTTAAATATTAAATACGGTAATACTATTAGACTAATAATAGGTACGCGATAATCGCGATTTACGGAACCGAATTTTGTGCTAAAATTTTGATCCACGCTTTTCGTAGTCTCTTCAAAGTTAGCGTGGTTGAGGAAGGCTGTGTGGAATAACTTTTTAGTATTTGTTATCAACATAGTATATTTTTAGAAAATAGAATAGTTGAGCTTCTTCTTGTACTTGGTTTTAATTATACTTACTTGCTTTATTAATGAGTTTATTGATGTCAAAACTTTGTCATACTTCGGTGATGAAGTTAATGTCCAATATATGCTGCAATATTTTTTTTTCCTATTTTTTTTTTTTTAATTTTTTCATTTATCTATGCACCTGCCAAATTTCATTGAAAAATTTTATGTAGCAGGCACTCTATTTATTGTCACACCTTTGGTACTTAATTTACATTTTTCTTAATACTAGCGTGGGAGACAGAGGGGTCTATTAAATAATTTTTTGTTTATTATTTTGATTTAGATAAACAGCAATATTTCTATTAATATTAGTAATAAGAATGACAAATAAGAGTAATATGAATGCTATGAATGCTTATTACATATATTAGTAATATAATGCTATGATTGCCTTTTTTTAATATTAAATATTAATAACATTAACTTTAAGTTAATAACTTACGCAAGTTATGTGAGTTATTAAGCCTTAATAGCTTACATATTACTAAGTAAAATGTTATTTTTTTGATAAACTATGATTTTTTTGGCTTTTTTTTATTTTATTAAACTTTAAATTTAGTGTTTAACAACTTTATTTAATAATTAACACTATTAATATTTTATGTTTATATTATAAATTTATCTTTATATTAATAGTATTAAATGTTTCATTAATTTATTGATAATACATCAATGGAACAAACCTTAATATGTTTATAAGGTTTGTTCCACTTCTTATACCATTTATTTTTAGTAATTAAAATTTTTTAATGATTAAATTGGTTTGAAAAACTTCATTTCAGTCAATTGTCTGCTTTAAAAGGTAAATTATGTTATTTCATTAACTAAATACAGAAAAAAAAAGTTTTTTAAATTAAGTTATACTTGTAATAATGTTTGTAAATTTTTTTGTGGTTAATCTTAAATACAAGTTGAAAATTGAATTAAAATTATTCTGATCAGAATATCAAAATTTTTTGGTTATTGATGTTTGTTTGATTTTATGCAAAATATAAATTGTTTAATGATACAAACATTAAGTGTAGAAATGGTCATGTACTTTTTGTTTTCATAAAAAGTGGTGAGATATATACGAAAACTGTAAAAGAAGTCAATGAGCATTTTAACTTCAACACTTCCACATATCATGTCCAAAGTGTAGTGAATGTAGCAAAAAAATGGAAACATAACTTTAAAAGGGACTGTACACATTTTATCAATTTTTGCAACAAGCTGTTTACATGCTACCCAACAATCTCAACAATGACACAACCATCCCAGTCTAGTCCTAGTAATTCCCATTTAGTTGCCTTGTCTTATGAACATGACAGTCTTTCATCTGAGACACACAATGAGTTTTTACCTACAGCCAGTTGTAGTAATCATGTACAAGATATTTTCACTTGTAGACAAGAAATTCCACCGAGAGAAAATCTATTGAAGATTCAGTTAGCTACCTCTTCCAAGAAATACAGAATAAATATAGCTATAGTCAAGTCTAAATTAAATAGTATGCCATATAAACTAAAACTTTTAAGACAAAGTGCTAAAAGAAAAGAAGATATTATAAAGGATTTAAGAAGGGAGTTAAGAGAATTAAAAACTAAAATGAAAATTACTTATTATACTCGACAAATTCGAAATCATACAGCTACAATAAAGAAATTAAAATATAATGAAAAACAAAAGTTAAAGCAAATAAAGGTAAAGCATAACACAGATAATTGGGCAAATAAAAAAATGATTGCTAGTTTGGAAAACAACTTGCTTCAAAAAGAGGAGAATGCAACTACACTTTTGAACATGAATGAAGAATAAATAATCATATGAGAATGATTATTTATAATATGTTAATATGTAATGTCCCAACAGGTAACATTCCTCTTCTGATTCAGAAAATTGGACAATGTATGGGTTTTATTTTTTCTGATATTCCAACCACAATTCCGTTGAACAAATGGCTCGTGAACTTGGCAGTATTTCAAGCTTGCAGGCAGCTGAATGGGCAATCAACAATAGTCAACTTACTTTTGGGTTTGATGCTACAACACAAGAAGGTGTTCATATTAACAGTATTCACTTGACGTCAAAAGATAAATGCCTAGTTGTTGCTCTGGACCAACTACCTGGTGGAACAGCTGATGATTATGAAAACCATATATGTAATGCCATTGATCATGGCTTTTATTTATTCTCATTTTCACTCTTGCAGCTATAACGAATCTCGTAGTTTAATTATTAATAATATTTCAAACACAATGTCTGACCGAGTTGCTGTTAATCATCTTACTATAAGCAAAGTATGTGCAACCTGGGGTAAAAGTCTAAATGAGTTGAACTGCCATTTGCACCCTCTTGATACAATTGCCACATCATGTCGTTCAGCATTTAAGTCTCTAGAGAATGAGAAATGCAAATTGTTTGGAAATGACTGCATGGCAACCTTGATTATTTTAGCTATAAACAAAATGAGATTTAAAGATGTAAAAGGCGATCCACAAGGTTTTATAAATTTTTTAGATAATAATGATTTACCACGAGGTATCATTCTAAGGTATCGTGGCAACAGGCTTCACATTCTTTTCCATACTTGTTTTATTTTAATAAAGCATCACAGTAAATTTAAACAATATCTTACAGTTGGAACAGTTAAGTGTAAAAGTTTACAAGCAACTCTTCAAACAGTATTTTGTAGTGCCACCGCAATCAAACAATTGTGTGTGCTTGCTGTGTTTGGAAAACTTCTTACTGGGCCCTGGATGAAAAAGTTTTATGTTATATCAGAGCAAGCAACTTTTGATCTTGTTGCTGGTATCCAGGTTGTAAAAAATGTTATACAAACAGTTCAAACTTGCAAATCCAATCCAGCCGGTTTGTTTTGCAGAAAGACAGATTTTTTTGACCAGCCGCTAGAGCCAAACATTTTAGAATCAGTAACAAGTTTATGCTCCGTTGATGAAGAGCTTCTTAAAATGACTTTGGCCTGTCTTATTGCAGTGGAAGATGTTTTAAATAGACAATATAGTAGGTATTTTTCACTTACTGTGACAGAGACATTTAAAGAGGAAACAGCTAGTGCAAGGCTTCACAATATAGATAGTGAGGAATTAATGGGTATGTTTAGTGATGCAAAAGTACGAGCTCCTAATGCAACAATTTGCTATATCTCTTGCAAACTACGATCAAAAAAGAATAGGACTGTCGACTATCTAGACACTCTAGATTTAAGTTTAAGAGAAAAGATTGTTAAATGGTCAATTAATGTAGCACGTAAAAACAGATTTACAAATCGACTGCATCTGTGCAAAGTAAGAGATGAGATTTGCCAAAGACAAAAAATCAAGCGCCAAAAAATGGATGAAAAAGAAAAAAGAAAGTTAGAGCGCGAGCTATCCAAATTGAATTTTGAAGAAATTGTTAATTCATATAAGCACTTGTCCAATGACCAACTATTTGATTTAGAAGATGTCATGTCAGATAGAATTGTTGGGAAGAAACTAGAACATGAATGGTACGATCCAAAAACATGCAAAAGTGTTTTATATAACGGCAGAGTAGAAAAAGTTAATAAAAGAAAAAATGACTTCATTTACACCATTTCTTACTGGAAAGATGATGAAACTGATATTGAAGCTGTTGACTATTGCATGAAAAAGATCCAGCTCGCTGCTGATGTTGTTTCTGGTGAGTTACAATTTAATTAATTTATTAACACTGCAAGTGTTGTGACTTGCTAAAAAAAGTACTGTAAGTGTTGTGACTTGCTAAAAAATATCTGCAAGTGTTGTGACTTGCTAAAAAAAGTACTGCAAGTGTTGTGATTTGCTAATAAAAGTACTGCAAGTGTTGTGACTTGCTAAAAAAAGTACTGCAAGTGTTGTGACTTGCTATGCATTTTTGATAGACAGCTCTGGCTTACCTTCACGTGGTGTCTATTGTTAAAAATGATTATAAAATAATTTCATTAGTGAAATTTATCATTGTAATCATTCACTAAAAGCCAAGACAAAACTTTATGAAATATCAGAAGAATCATTAAAATAATCAAACATTATTTAGTGTTAATAACATTTTGTTTGTTTTCTAATTTGAGACAGACAAACTTTTAGTTAACCAAACTACTATCAAGCACTATATGAAAGATTTAAAGATGGATGCAACACTAATGTAACTTTTAAAGAGTAAGATATATTTTTTACTTCTTTGTTATTGTACTTTAAATAACCAATCAGATATTTCTTAATTAAAATTTTGTTTTTCAGTATTAATTTATAGAAACTTTTTTATATAGACAAACACTTTTTTTGGGATTTAAATAAACATATGTTTTTTTTTTTTTAGGTCGGGGGGGGGGTATACGCCCCCTCCACCCATACATCGATGTAAACACCACTTGTATACGAAAATTCTTGTAGAACATAATTTTATATTGCATACTAAATGAAATCATTTTCGTAAAGATAAAAATATTTATGAAAACAAATCATATTTGATGCTAGGGTGTATCAAACCATCACCACCACACCTACCTCTATCATTTAAATAAGCCTCTTATATACTTTGGTGGTTAAATAAATTTGTATCAACTTTTTGGTATATTTAAACTGCTAATGTCTTGAAAAAGATCTTTTTCCTGAAAAAAATGTTCAGTTTCATACGGGTAAGGTGGTGGTTTGACGCCCCCCTCTGTCCATCCGATACGCCCAATGGTAAGAGTTTAACAAAAATATGTAGTCCACTCTTACACCTATCTTTTGACACCAAGATATTTGTATTTTGATAAGAATTGACAAAGTTATGACAATTAAAGTAAAGAAAAACATAATTTTGACCACAGTTTCTTCAACAATTCCATATATCGAAAAATCGGTACTTAAACCGTCATAACTTTTGAACCAATTGTTCGATTTTGATAATTTTTTCACCTTTAAAATACTGTATTGATCCTCTTTCCAATGATATATAACAGTAAGATATTTAAATAATTTGAAATTTTTACTCACGTACCTACTAATAACTACATTAAGTTAACATTAATAACTACATTTAGTTAACTTAATGTAGTTATTAGTTAACTACATTAAGTTAGTTATTAGTTAATAGTATTTAACTAGTTAAATACTATTATTATTATATTACCAATAATATTTGTTAATTATTACTAATAATATTAGTTAATCACACTCATACAATTATTATTATACTAGTAATATACTAATAATTGTATTCATACAATTATTACTCATACTATTGTACTCATACAATTATTAGTATATTAGTAATATACTAATAATTGTATGAGTGTAATGAAGTAAATAGTTTAGTGTAATTAAACAAAAGATTAACTAATAAACTTTATTAGACGAAATTTCATATTAGATTACATATTAAACACGCTAATACTATTAGACTAATAACTACATTAAGTTAACACACTAAAACTAGTGACACTAGTAGTAGACACACTAGTACCTAGTAGTAGACACACTAGTACTAGGTAGTGTGTTTACTTAATTAAGTAAACACACTAATAGTATTAACGAGTTTAATATGTAAACTAAACTAAAATTTCATGTAATAAATTTTATAGTTGTATAAAAAGCTCACCTATTAAATCTAACTTATTTTGGTAACGTTCAGCAGCCTTTTTAGATAACTTTTCTTGATAATCATAAGACATTTTCAAAGCGTTTAAGTAATGTTGTACTGAAATCAACGCGTTTGTTTGCCCCCATATCATAATGGTAGATATTTTTATTTTTTAATTACGCAATGATCACGTGGTTTTTTCGCCGCAAGATTATAACACAGACACACAAAATATTATTACTATTCTATAAAACACGAAGTGAAAAGTCTTGGTGCAATTTTGATGTCTTTTATTAAAATTTCCTCATTGTATAGGCACGTGTGTAAAAATTTTAAACTACTTTTATTATTGGTTATTATATATCATTGAAAAGAGGCTAAAATCAGCATTACAATAGTGAAAATTTCATAACAAAATAACAATTTAACAAAAAGTTATGCTCATTTAAGTAACAAAATTTGATTACAAGGATTGCTTAAAAAAAGTGCGACCAGTTTTAAGATATCAGTTTCGCCTAACGGTAGTTTTGTTATGGAACTTTGTTGCTAGATGCGCAATATTTTGCTTTATTTACAATATTTTAACTTAGGTACATATTCTGCTACAAAAAATTAGGTGTCTGCTACATAATCTTTTTCGATAAAATTTGGTATGCACGTAGGAAATAAGTTTTTAAATTTTTCTCAATAGTTTCAATAATGTTCTCATCATTCCTTCAATATTAATTTGACGTGTGATCAACAACGAAGTTTTTAAGAAAAGTAAATTCAATAAAAGCGGTTGTAACCTCAAAAAAAAACTATCCGAAAATGAAGTCTAACTCTTCCACTTTTCAAAAAAAGTCTATGCTGATATAAAATCCTAAAAAATAACACAACAAAATACTAAGCAAATAAAAATATTTGCAAATAATATAAACAAAACATTAATATATATATATATATATATATATATATATATATATATATATATATATATATATATATATATATATATATATATATATATATATATATATATATATATATATATATATATATATATATATATATATATATATATAAACCCACTAAATATAAACAATGCACAAACAAAACAACAGACAGTTTTACAAACTAAACAACAGCTAGTTGTTTAGTTTGTAAACAAAACAATAAACAGTTGAACTTCTGCAATCCTTTTTCTATAATTATACTAAACATTGGATCGGAATCTAAAGTTATGCACGTTGAAATAAAAATTATTTAGATTACAGATATTTAGTTAAACAAATATAACACTTTGACTTTAGATTTTTAAATAATATCTTAAACATTAAAATATTTCTCAATAATGCGGAAAATAAACAGTCACTAAATATTCTGCAAGCGGCGTTTAATTTGAAGCGCATGGAGTCGAGGCAAGTGTGACAACCATCCCCATATATTTTGTGACAAGCAACCCCTTCTGAGTAAGTTGCTGGACACCTGTGCATTTACCTAAAAGCGTGAGAATTTCATGATAATTTTTTACGGATTAAGTTACTCAAATGAATAAAGTACTTTATAAATCTACATTCAAAACACAATAAAATAATTTTCGTTTGGTAAAAGAAAATTTCTGAGTAGGCGAAATTTTACTTTTTCATATCAAAAACCTATAAAAACGAATAACTTTTCTTCTGCACGCTAAAAAAAGATAAAAATTACTGTAAAAATGTTTTTTTTATATAACATTTCCATTGCATAATTTGAAATTTCTATATCTTATTTACATTTCTTGTAATAAACTTTGTGACAACCAACCCGCGTGACAACGATCCCCGCTCTCCCCATTAATTGATCGACTTTTTTAGTCAAAATTATAAATTGGCTAAGGACACGTCTTTCCATGGAGATTACTAGAGCCTCCATACTCTGCTTAAGAGGGTCACAAACCCCATTTAGGCATTATAACACTGACGATGTTGGCCTAAAAAATGTGCAATGTGGACTTATTTAATTTGTATTTTTAAATTGTTTTATTAATATAATTTCTCATTTTTAGTCAAATACTCCACTGTGCGACGCGTTGCCGAACAACAGCTAGGTTCCAAACGTCGCGGTGTTTAGAACCTAATTGTTATTCGGCATTTCTCAAACTAGTGCAAGGTAGCTAAAAGATAATATATACTGCTTCCTTAATAAGCGTTTCCAAATGTATCAAAAAAAATAATAAACAAATATTTTTTGACAAGATAGAAATGTAAAAACGGAGAAATTATCTGTATTAAAAAATTAGATAAGTATAAAAGATTAAGAGTGCAAAAAGCGATTCTAAGTTAAATTCAAAGCTACACTTTTTCAGGTCAGACTTCAAAAACAACTTAAGTTAATGAAAAAAGTTGAAGCATACTTAAACAACTAGGAAGTTTTAAAATAGGTTAAAATGAAAGCATTAATCGAAATAATTTCTTTGTAATCATGAGAGCAAATTCTACGGGAAACACCGTTAACTGAAACAAATTAGTAAACAAAATAAAATTATATACAAATTATGCTATGTAGGGGAGATGGGGGCGCATTGATCGCCGGGGCAGTATGATCTTTTAGCTTTTACTCGTTTACTTTTGCCTTAATTTAACAGAGATTGCAATTTAATTAACCATTATACTACTCTTCATTGCTTAATCGTAATAATTTTTGATAAGATCAACTTCAGCGTTAAGAAAATTGAAAAGACTGTTTTTCATGAAAAGTGATTTTTAAAAGTTGTAAACAAATTCAAATAAATTTTTAATTAGATTTCTGTATGACTTTACAACCAATTTATTGTAAACTCATATGTGTTAAGTTTATAATGAATTTGTTTTTTTGAGTTGGTTAGTGTATTTATAGAAGTTATTGGCATCAATATATCAACTGTGCCTAATGGGGCACATTGATCGTTGACTATGCGGGGCTCATTGATCGGAGGATCAAAGTGCCCCATATAACTTATATTATAAGACTTAAATTTTTTGTTTAAATTTTATACATTTAAACTTATGACGAATAAAAAATCTTTATATAAACTTTTAAAATTACATTTTTAAAATGTAATAGTGTTAAAAACTAATACTAATAGCATTAGTTTTTAGTTTTACAGTTAGTTTACATAATACAATTATATATTAGTTTACATAATACTATTATATAAAATATTTTTTTTAAACAATCATTTTATTTTACTTTTTTTTTTAATTTTCAGATCTTTAAATGGTTAGGTATAGAAAAAAAAAACAGACAAAGTTGCTATATCATGTGATACAATGAAATCAGCTGTTAATGAAGTTTTAGAGGGCAGACCAGTGAATGTTGTAGCTCGCAAGTTTAGCATAAATCGAATGACCTTAAAAAGATATTGTAATAAAAAGAACCTCAACCCAAATATTTGGGTTGAGCTTCTTTTTATTACATATAAATTATTAAATTATAACATTCATTTAAATGACAAATTAAACAATTAAATTATTACATTCAAAATAACATGCAAAATAACATACAAAAAAACAATTAAATTATTACATTCATTTAAATGAATCTTTTAAGCCTAATTACAACAATAATCAAGTTTTTACTGCAGAAGATGAAAAAAGTTTCTCAAGTTATTTACTACTTGCGTCAAAAATGACCTATGGACTTTCAACTAAGTCAACACGATTATTGGCATACAAGTTTTTAACTCATATGCCAATAACTCAACAGTCATTTCAGGTTCCACAATTCTTGTGGAACCTGAAATGACTGTAGCACATGTTGTTGGCATGGAGCCTGAAATGCCTGTAGTACATCATGAAACAAGTTTTTAGAACAAAGTGTCACCAAGCATTGCTTCATGACTCTCACCTTAAGTTTTGAAACCTTACCCGAAAGCATCTGCTAGAAAAAGAAGTTAAAAACTACTTGCTTAGGAACAAAAAACAATGTAATGTAAAAGCAGCATCACGACTTGACTTTGACAAAGGATGATAATATAAAAAAATAATCTTGTAAACTTTAGTTCTAATAAAAGTCTTGTATGAATCTTTTACTTTCTTTGCAAACTTAAAATACTGTATTCTTATAGACTTTATAAGCTTCAAGTTTTGTAAAACTTAACATATATATATGTTAGTAGTATATAACGGACTTATTTTCATAAATAGAATTGTGGTTATTCTTCTAATGTAAACTTAATACACTGGTGTGTATTAGGTTGTAATGGTATGTGTATATATATATATATATAAATGTATGTATGTATATAAAATATATTTTATGTTGTTATCTTTGTTGGAATTATATTATGACATTAATATATACGTCTAGTTTAATTTTGGTAATAAAAGTTCAATTTTAAAACTGTTTTTTATACTTTATTCAACAAATATATTACAAATGAAAAGTTCAAAAAAGTTCAATATCAACTTCTGTACCATCCATGTTTAGAAAAACAGGTTGAATCATGCATGCAACATCTAAATTTAAGAAAAATTTGCTCACATTTATCAAACATATATGGTACTATATAACTAAAAAAAACTAAAAATAACAAATAAAACAACGCTAAAAATCATTTTTCTGCTACAAATACAAAAAAATAAAATAAAAAATTTAAACACCTAAAACGCTTTTTACAAATTTTAAAATGTTTCAAATGTATGTCAATTTTTAATGCTGGAACCAAAATATAAATTTGAACGATTCATAAAAGGAATATTTATGGGTTGTAACATAACATTTATATTCATTGCAACATCACACAACAACATAACACCCAAGCTTAGAGCCTAAATGTTACTTGGAAACAGGCATAAACTGCATATTTTAACTGTACATTAATGCAATATGCTAAAGCTTAGATAAATGGGACGTAAACCTTAGACAAAGATTATTTAGAAGTTAAAATGTCGTATTATGGAATTGTTCATAAATTACGTCACATTCTAAAGGGGAGGGGTAGTTACAATGTTTTGACAAGGGGAAAGGTGTTAAAATGGTCAAAAATTGCATGAAGTAATTTATGGACAACCATTATGAGTCAGAGTTGTAAAAAAATTTTTATAGTAACAAAAAGATAGTTGACGTCATCTATATTGATTTTGAAAAAACAATATCTTGGATTATTGAAGGTTGTGGCATAGGGCTGTTTGCAGATTATATCAAGTTGTACCAATCGAGAAATGATCGCAACAACATTCATTTTGTAAATACTTTAAAAAAAATCTCTGCATGGTAACTCAAAATAACAATCAATTCACGTCAACTTTTGTTAAAGGCCTATAAAATTTTTGTGAGGCCTGTACAAAATATTGTACTCCAGTTTGGAGCCCTCGCATTTTAAAATATAAAAGTTACATAGAAAAAGTCCAAAATATTTCGACAAAGTCTGCGAAAAAAATCAAACTAGACACACTGATTACTTTTCAAGAATTATTCGAATCTCTTGAATATTGCAGTGTTAAATTTGATCTTTTTATGACTTTTAAATTGTGCATAATCTTGTTGATATACCCTTTTTTGATTTTTTTTCCTTTTTCTAATTCAAAATAATTTACGAGAAGTCATTTTTCTAACTCAATATAATTTACGAGAAGTCATCAAAAATTTATTCTGCGTGATCTACGTGATGAACGTAGAGTAAATTTTTTACAGCGAAAGAATTGTTAAAGTATGAAACTCATTTCTTTACCACATAGTAAATTCGCCTTCACTCTCTGCATTTAAATCAAATTTAAAAAAGTTTGGTCTTTAATTTCATTGCGCAATTGTACAATGAAATTAAATACCAGCTTGTTTTTTTCACACTGCTTCAAAAATAAAAAAAGTTATTTTGAAAAAAACAAATTCAAATTTTTTAAAAATTTGGATTGGAAAAAAATCAATTCAAGCTGTCAGATGAATTAGTTGTCTTAATTCTTAATGAATGTTAAAGGATTTATATTTTTCAATAACTACTCTGACAACGCATGAGATCAATATGATATAAGTATGATATCAAAAGTTTCTCATGCAGGATATCAAATAATTATCTCACTATTATACCGATGTCATAACCATAGATTAACAAACTCAACTATGGTTGCGAATTCACCATGAGATCTTATTGACATTACTACTCAATAACAAACCATAAGAAACTTTTTTTATTATAAGTAAATCACGTTGATCTCAAATTTTGACAAAACACCACAACCTTTTTGAAAGTTTCCATATTTTCTATTAATGCATACTTAATCGTACCATTCCGCGCAAAGGATCCTTTACGCGGTTAGTCGACTAATAGGATGTCTTGATGATATGAAACTCATGTAAAAATATCATAATATGATCTCGTTATGATGTCATGGCGATGTCACAAACTCAACGCAGTTAAATTTACAAAAATTTTAAATTCAACAATGATGATGTGAGACAACCATGATTGTGAATATCATTATATATATATAGTCTTGCATAGTAGTCACAAAGTTTTTCCCATTAACTGTTGTTTTAAAACAGCGCGTTAATAAACCTGACCAGAAAATGTTAAAAAACTTCAAAAATAATTTTTTTATTTAAATGATAGACTGCCTGCCCAAACCAAACCCTCAGTCGATGTAGCAGCACTCCCTTGCGAGTCAGGCTATTTGTCAGTCGATGTAGCAGCACTCCGTTGCGAGTCAGGATAAAAGATAGTCGATGCAACAACACTCCCTTGTAGCAGCAGGCTATAAGATAGTCGATGTAGCAACACTTACGCATGTTTTAAAAATGTTTTTTTAATAAAATAAAAATAAAAACACCACTAATTAAAAAAAAGTTTCTAGTCATTATTATTGCGGTTTTTTTAAAAAACAATAAAATTTAATGTACTTCCGCATTAATGCAATAAAATTGATAGAAAAATTCTACAGAAAGTCAGCTGTGCTATCACAGTATTTATTAATGCAACCACGGTATTTATTTTAGCGTAACCGATAATCTTTAAAAAGCTTACTTTTCTGCAGTAGCCAAATATAATCGAGTGACAAATTAGATGACGAAGATGTTGAGGAAAGCAATGAAGCAAAGTATTCCGATGAAGAGTTAAATTATTTTATTAGTTATGACCTTAAAATGTAAAGTTACTACTTCATTCGATAATTATTCATTAATGAAATTAAAGAGCTCATAAAAGCATCACCAGATAATTTTTAGGGAACGTGAAGTGAATGAGATATATTCTCTTTAACTGTATAGTTTTTCAAATTGTCAATCGTTTGAAACACTTTGACTAGAATATTTGTTTTTAAACACACAAAAAATTGGTGCTAAAACTTAACATTAATACTCAATGGAACTTGTTGGTTCACATAATTAAGAGGTTGGTAAAGTTAAAACTATGCATCCAAAAAGAAAGTTTCGGATATTGGAACAAATAGTTTTTATCAGAAAGTCAGTTTTAAACTAAATAAGAATAACTTGAGAATTATAATCTGATCAGGTATTCACACGTTTTTGTTTATTTTTCTGAGTAAGCGTCTAAGTGTAACGATACTGAATTCACAATTCACAAGTGGGTATAGGGCAATGATATATTATATAACTAGATGTCTAATTTGCGGGATTTTATTGGACAAAAAGTGAAGCCGCTTTTTTTGTTTATAACAATAGCCCGCCATTTGTAATAAGGGCAAACGCTAAAGCCGAAGTGTTAAATAAAAGTTAAAAATGCAAGTCAAAATTTGATAATAAATTAAAGATAATTCAATAACAAATTTTTATAATTATAAAATACTTATAAAAGTTTTTTTATGAGCATATGTTTATTAAAAAGTATGTTTAGTAAAAAGTATTCTTATGAGCATATGCTTATTAAAAATGCTTCAAAAGCGTGTCGTTTTACTTTTCTGTTCTAAACTTTAATCCCTTTTTAATCGAAAACAAATTAGGGAATCGTAAATTATTATTTTACAAGTATTATAATTTCTATTTAACACTTTTACGTAAATAGTAATTAAGTTTAAAATATATTTACTTCATTTAAGAAAAAAAAAGTTAAAAATATTTGTTTACAAATTTAATCAGCCATTTCTAGAAAGGGCAAAAAGCGGCTTCACCTTTTGGATCGAAGTTAGACATCTAGTTATATAATATATCATTGGTATAGGGTAGATTAGGCTAGATTAGGGTAGATTAGAGTAGATTAGTGTAATATGAGCACTTTAGTGATGTGAGCAAACTAAAAGATTTCTATGATGTAAGCAGTGATGTTATAAATACTTTGTATATGTTGAATTGTTTTTATGATAATCAGAACAATTAACGTAATCAGAATAATTAACAGGAATCAGAATAATTAACGTAAATTTATATGGAGTAATTAGCGACTCTCGTCTAATTAAAACGCTATTAATTTTTTTGCGTTGTTAAAATATTATCCTAACGCATCAATAAATCTGTGTTTAATAATAAATTTTTATGCTGAAATAATAAAATTTAATTTTTCATAAAAAAAAATAAAGCTAGAAATTCTTTCCATTTTTGTTTAAAAAACAATGCTTAAAAAATTTAGCTTCGACATTAAAAATACCGTTTTTGTGTAATATGAGCATGCTCAAATTACCCAGCGTTTTTCATTGAAATTACTTAGTTTGTTCTGGTTTTAATTGCTTTTTACAAAACATTGTAAAACTTTTTAATAATTTATCAATGCTAAATATCTTTCTGTAACTCAAATTCAAAAAAATTGTAATTTTATTATTTAAAGGTTTGAGATAGTAAAATAAAGAAGTATTGGTTCAATAAAAAGTGGCTTAAAATTTGATCTTTTAATGATAAGTTTTGTTATCGGTTCGCTAAAAATTTGATCTTTTAATGATAAGTTTGTTATCATTAAAAGATCAAATTTTTAGCGAACCGATAGTTCTAATTTTCAAAAAATTATTTATTCGTTATTGTATTTTCAAAAAATTATTAATTCGTTATTGTATTCCACAAAATAGTTCTAATTTTCAGGTTGGTGTTAACACCAACCTGAAAATTAGAACTATTTTGTGGAATACAATAACGAATTATTGTATTCCACAAAATAGTTCTAATTTTCAGGTTGGTGTTTTTTTACTTAATGTTATTTTTTTGAGCTAATTTAAAGTGCTCACACTACCAAGTGATTTAGGAAATATAAGCACTTTTGCTACTTTTTAAAAACTTCTGTGTTTTTAAGAAAAAATTTCGGGATCATGAATAGTGATCGCTAAAAATTGTTTATTTACAAAAACTTTAGATTGAGCATAATTATTTTTGAAAACAATCAAATTTTCGCATTTTCAAATGTGCTCATAATATACATGAAATTATACATGAAGTTTAAGGCCTCGATTCGGTAAATACTTATAAAAATGCTATGCGTTTTGCTCTTCGTAGCCGGCAGTTTAAACTATACTTTTTAAAATCTCCAACCTAAATTTAAGTAATATTCCAAATTATTCTCAAATAATAAAGTAAAGAAATGAAATTACCTTTTGTTGTTGTTGCAAAATTTTGTAGGCTGATCACAGCATCCATTTTTGTCGCATAAAGCTGGTATACCTATATATATATATATATATATATATATATATATATATATATATATATATATATATATATATATATATATATATATATATATATATATATATATATATATATATATATATATATATATATATATATATATATATATATATATATATATATATGAATATATACGCATAAATTTTAGCTTTTAATAACTTTGAACCTGAGGAAAAGTTATTTAAGATATTTTACTTTTATTGATAGCAATATCTGAACTCTGTGAAAATATTTTTAAAAAATCATGTGTTTCAAAGGTCAATCACAAATTCATAACGCCATATAAAATTTATTGATTTTTTTGCTTCCATCGATAAATTCTTTATATCAAAAAATAAAAAAATTAATTTAGATTTAATAAAGGTACTTCTAAGGTGAACAAATGAAATAAAGTCTGAGTTTTTATGTTAAAGTTGTGTATGTTAACATTTTTTTTTTGCATTCCAAATAAATTATTGTCAAGGTTGGGGGAAAATTGCAACTTTTTCCCTCAAGTTTTTATTAAAATAATAATATTTTGTAAAAAATTGCGACAATTAAAAAAAAAAGATTAGTAAAAAAAATTAATATAAAATTAATATAAAATTAATATTTATTCAAATTTCCAGAGCCAAATAATTTATCTATTTTAAGAAATGAGCATTTTATTAAAAAACTTTTTTCTTGTCTACAAAACATATTTTACATTTATATACTCTATTCTCTGCGAGGACAAATATAGTCGCAGGTGTGAGGTATAAATTGTTATACAACACATCCTACATCCGTTACCAATTTTGTCCTCGCAGAGAGTATATTTGGTGAATATATATGTAAGTATTTGGTGAATATATATGCAATTACAGTATTAAATCAAAAAAACTGTTGGCCTAAATCAAAAGAATTGCAAATCAATTATAATTATATGTATAAAAGATTTAATTCTACAAGCATAGGAATTTTCATGGAAATATTTTAAGTTAATACTTACGGCGACATAAACATCTTGAACAACCGTTTTGATCGTATACTGGTCCGTTCACACATACAAATAAACATTTAAAAATCATTGGACATGATTTTAAATTAAAAATAGGTAAGACTTTATTTTCTAATGATCTGCATGTTGGTAAATCTGAGAAAAAAATAAATTATTTGAGTGCAAAAGTTTGATAAATATTTTTATGTTATGCAAGTATTTTATGTTATATATTTTTCCTTTTTCTAAAATATTATTATACGTTATAATTATAAAATGCGCTTACTGTTGCAGGTACAAGTTGGACAACCGTATCCGTCGATTACATTTCCGTATGGGCAATAATTCTTGCACTGTCGCACACTACTTATTTTGCATATAGGTCGGCCTTGATTATACAGAAGTTTTTTATAAATTCAAAAACATTGTACACTGACAATAATAATAATAATTAACCAAAAAAAGTTTTTGTATACATATTCCTTTGCTATTTGTTGAATCCTCAACACATTTGAGATGATTTCCGCACTTTCCTAATATTTGCCACGGTCCTCCGCACACCTCTCCAGAAATTTTAGCGCAGACATTACAACAGTTGCAGGCATCTTTGACAATACCACCTAGTTAATTATATATATATATATATATATATATATATATATATATATATATATATATATATATATATATATATATATATATATATATATATATATATATATATATATATATATATACTTTATTAATCGCTAGTTTAAGTCAACTTATCCTTTAATTATATACCGTTTTAAATATATAATTAAAACAATATATACTTTTGATTTTTATTTTTTATTGTAAAATAAATAATAAGAGCACAACTCGAAACAAACAACAAACAAAAATGATATCATTAAACTTCCCGAAGGGGGAGTGTAGGGGGTGTTCATCCCCCCCCCCCCCCAAAGCTGTCATTTAAGCATTTAAGTTGGCACATTTAGCAATAATTGGCAAATTGAAAATATTGGAGACTTTTTTTTTTTTTGGTGTCTCTAGTTGGCAAAAAATACACTCCCTTCCCCCATGGAAAACCTCTTCGGGACGGCTCTGGTAAATATAGTAATAAATACTCTAAAATAATAATTTTATTTGATAATACTAAACAATAAATTTACCTTTACATCCAACAGGAATTGTACAGTTTTGCTCAGAACATTGAATGCATTTCAATGTAGATATAGAGCGACAAACAGATAAAAATATATACAATATTAAAACAATATCTTTCATCGTTTAACTTTTTATAAAATAGCAAAAAATACTTTTTTTAAAAAAAAAGTCAATGACTTTAAACGTTGACACCAGTTTTTCAAAATTATTTTTTAAACTATGTTTAATTTTTTCTATTTATATAACACTAAACAATTATAAAATTATAATATAAATATTAACATGATTACATATACTTTTTTTAGTAAAATGATCTAATTAAGATCGTCATTTAAGATGCAATGTCATAGTTTTATAATATCCATTCATTTGCACAATATGAAATTATGACATAATGCTCATTTGAAATACGTAAACTTTAAATTGGGTATTCAGCATATTTTTTATTCTATTTCATAATTAGCAAAATGATCGAACGATGATTTAACAATTTAAGAATTATTAAAAATGATTTACATCGATCAGATTTCCTTTAAATAATTTTTGCAAAGACGTAAACGAATGTAATAGAGATTTTATTACTTATAATATTATTAAAAACTGTAAAAAATGCACTAAATACAAAAAACATACAAAAAATATTTACAAACTAAAGTGAAAATAGATTAGAAAATTGTTAGTTGAATGAAATTTAAACGGCCCTTTTATATGAGATGGCTGTCTGCTCTGATCACCAAAGCTCTCGCTTTGGTGATCAGAGCAGACAGCAAAATTGAGAGATTCCCACTACCAGGAACACCAAAACCCCTTAAATTACAGCAGTACGTAGACGGTTTAAACTTTTTTGCCAGGGACGTAAAGTCCGCTTTTTTTCGAAACAGTAAAATTATTTGAAAAATCAAGTGGTTCAGTGATCAATGCCTCAAAATGCAAGGGTCTTGCACTTGGGGGTTTTGATCCTTAAATGTACCCAGAATTGGACAAGATAGAGTGGACCGAAAAAACCGGTTTCAAAATTTTGGGTGTGACGTTTTACAACAGACTGAGTAATGCTAGCAATTTCAACTGGCTAGTAACTCTAAACCAAGTAGAGAAAAAACTCAAGTTTCTGGAACTTTTTTACACAACAATCTACCTTCTGCGGCCTTGCTAGCCAAAAGCACAAAGCAACAGAATGTAAAAAACAACAAATGAAAAACTTACATTTGTTACAAAACTTTGTAACTGCAACAGTTGAACCTTTCTATATTATGTCGATAGTTACTTATTGTAGATTTTTAGCTTATTACAAATACAATTAAGTGCAGATTTATAGCTAGTTGACTGTTGAAGATTTTTATTTTCTAGTAAACAACATTATCACAACATATCAATTGGGACTTATTCCAGAATGTTGATAGCTACAATGTTGATAGCTACAATTAACACGGCAATATTAATTGTAGCTATCAATATTGCTGATTTAGAAAGTTAAAACCACAAGCAAAATATGAAAAGTATAAGAAAATGTAGCTAGCGATCGTAATAGTAATATTTATTGCTGTAACAATTACAAATTTGTTTAAATATAAATATTAAAAAAAAAAAATTGTGGAACGCGATGTAAACATCGGATTATCGACAGCCCACACAATTTAAAAAAACACAAGTTATGAAAAATGTTCATCTATTCGCGCTTTGAAAACATTCAACGATCTTGCTTCAACGATTTCATTTGGTAACAAATTCCAATTTTAACAAATGTCTAATCAATGTTTTTATACATGTGACTTATTGTTAACTAATCACCAGCTTGAGAAGCTAACAATTATTGTTCTCAAATCGTCTTTTCTGTTAAAAATGTTGGTTAATTGCTAGTCATTTTTGTACTTAGTATTGTCAATGATTATTTCCGTTTATTGGGCGTTATATTTTGTGCAGATAAAATATGAGGCGATGCCAACTGTTTTTTGTCTACACAATTCTTCGTAATTATTTATAAACTGCTTGCATGGTCAGTTGGCCGATACTTCGCTCAACTAAAACATATGCTTTACTTTAAAAGTTTTGTTTTTAGATTAGATATTAAATGGAAGAGATTTTTGAATTGATACACTATCATAGTTGATCAGATTTTATATCTACATTTAAATTCAAGGCAAGATATTTACATTCTTGCATAAAAAATAAAGTTTTCAAAAATATTTTTGTCATCCAAGCAATTATTTTTTTGCATTTTAGCTCAATAATATATTAATGAGAGCTGTGTATTAATGTTCCACCAGATTGATAATCGATTATGAGACTAATAATCTAGGAGGATCAAGCTACAAGCATTAAAGTGTTTATGTTAAAAAATTCAGCAGCGGGGCTATGGTTTGAATACTTAGGACTGAAATTTTGATTTGACTACTTAAAACTTAAAGAAACCTAACAGAAAAAAAAACTTTTTCATATACTAATCTAAAACATTTACATATTTTTACGTAAAATATTTATTTTTTTTTTTACTTTTTTTTTTATTTTTATTTTTTTTTTAGTTATTTAGGTGCTTATCAAAGAAAACGGAATAATATTTATCTAGGAGGTTCACGTCTCCTTCCTTACAAATCTGGCATGTGTGACCAGAACCAGCTTCGAACCAGGGACTTCCAGTTCTGAAGCCAGAACTGTAATTAGGTGGTATATCACTTATACCACGGCTTATTGATTAGATTTAATTAGGAGGTGTACGTCTCCTTCCTTACAAATCTTGCATGTGTGCTAGGTGGGCTAGATTTTGTAACCATAATTAAGTATCCATAATAACCAAACTTTTATGTTGTCCTGATATATAAATAAGTTATGAGTTTTTTTTGTTTTGTTTTATTCTAAATTATGTATAGTTTTATTGCATATATGGCCGTTAGGAAACAAGTAATAAATTTATGTGTAAAAAAATTGATTGTTAAATTAATATATATTTTACTTAAATATATTGCTACGGTTAATTAGTTTTGCTATGCAAAATTAGTAAGCCATAGGGGATATACCACCTAATTTTGCTCTGCATAATTAAGTAACCATAGTAACCAAACATAAAAAATTGCTTTTATAAGAAGCAAAGACCAAATACACATGTCAAATATAGTGTACGTAGCACAAATGAAAAATCTCTAACTACCAGAAACAGGTTGTTGCTATGCAAAATTAGGTATCCATAACAACTAAATATAAAAATTATCACTTTCATAAGAAGCGCAGACCTCATTATAGTACTCTAGCTAAATTTGGTAAATACAGTACTAATATTAAATTAGTTAATAATTTTTTCTCAAAATTGACTATTCTGGTCCACTGTGGGGGAGTATGGTAGAACTATTACAGGTAGTCAGTTCTCAAATTTAAGAATAAACATATTTTTATCATTCTCATTTCATCAAAATAAACAGAATTCATCAACAAATTTTTCGGCATTTTTAAGTTACATCAATATCAAATATTAAATCCCCCTCAAAGTGAGGGGGTTCTACAAAATGTTTTCAGCTTTAGAGCTTGACAGTGCTCAAAGTTGCAAGAAGTAGCAGCCAAAACTATTTTTACGTCATAGTAAACATGTTAATCATTTGTTGTATATACTTATAAATGTGTTGGCTTGTGTTCCAAATAGTATTAGGGTATATCTATACCTCACTGATAATTTTAATAAAGATTTTTTACACATTATTTTAAACATTAGGAAAAAAAAAAGGTAATTTACATTTATATTTTGTTATTATTGCAAGAAAATAATAAGCTATAAATATATTTCAAAATTTACTAAAAAAAGCGCAACAAAATAAAATTAATTTTAATTTGTGAAGAAATATAGTTAAACATATTTTTTATCAAATTTTTAGTTGTTTTGAATATCTATTTTTTTTTTTTTTTTTTTTTTTTTATTCATATATTTGCCGTGCATATAACATTTACAAGTTTCGTAAATTAATATTTACAAGTCTCGTGAGTCAAAATATATATAGTGAAATTTATAATTAAATAGTACAGGCCGGACTTCAAGAAGATTGTAATGATCTTATTGTAGAGATTTAGGAAAATATTTATAAAATTATTGTAAGCGGAATTTGTGTGTCCGAGGTTACATTCATGATATATTTTTGACCAATTTACTACCGCTAGTGAGTCTTTTAGTTTTTGGGTCGAGAATTTATTTATGCTTCTTTTGATGATTTTTATTTTCAAGTTATTGACACGTGTTGCTTGTTGTGATAGTGAGAAGTAAATTGGGAAGTGGTCAGATATATCCGTTTTAATTATTCCTACTTTTAAGGATGGATCTTGAATTGAATTTGTCAATATATTGTCAATAGCTGTAATTGAGGTGGGAGTTACCCGGGTGGGTTTGTTTATAATTGGGAAAATGTAATGTTGTATCATATCATCGAAAAAAATTTTGGTATTAGCGTGTTCATGATAGCTTAGGTAATTTATGTTCATGTCACCAATACAGAATAGCTTTTTATGTTCAACATTGCTTGTTGTATATATTTGTTTCATAAAACTTGAAAACATTATAATATCTCCATCGGGCGGTCTATAACAAGAGGATATTAAGAGATTTTTTGTACTATCATTAATGACTTCAACTGTAAAGACCTCACTATTTGAATCAGAAATAGAAAGATCATTTCTAATTTTTGTGTTTAAGTCATTATGGATGTAGGTTATTATTCCACCTCCTCTTTTGTTAGCTTTTCTTTCATAAGAAATAAGATTATAATTAGGGATTAGGAGGCTTGAATTTGTATAAGAATTTTCGTCAGAACACCAAGTTTCTGTAAGACAAATCATGCTAAAGGAATATTTGCATTCGAAAAGGAAAATTTTTAACTTATCGATATTTGTATTTAAGCTCCTAATGTTTATGTGTATTACCGTAAACTCGTCTATATTGTTATGAAGTTCAGCTTTAAAAGTTTTAGTATCAAAGTATGGAGAGTCAGGTCCATTAAAAATAAATAAATCGTCGTCGTATAAATTATTCGCAAAGATATTATTTTGAGTTTTAAAAAAGTCAAAACGCAACTTATCAAAATCTTTTGTTATAAAATCATTAGCCATGACAAAAAAAGAATTAAATAAATTTTTTTTTTTTTTTAATAGAATTCGATTTGAGTAAAGTTAATTTTGAAAGCGCGTATTTTTAAAATCTCGACTAAAAATTTTCATACTTTAAAATAGCGTATT